GAACGCTACAAAGCAAGACTTGTGGCAAAAGGATACACACAAACTTATGGTATCGACTATGCAGAAACCTTTGCCCTTGTTGCAAAACTTAACACCGTTTAGAGTACTATTGTCCATTGCAGCAAATCTTGACTGGCCACTCCACCAATTCAATGTGAAGAATGCATTTTTGCATGGAGAACTCACAGAAGAAGTATACATGGATATTCCACCTGGGTATGCTACATCTACTCTTGCTAATGTGGTGTGCAGGTTACGAAAGGCATTGCACGGATTGAAGCAGTCTCCCCGGTCATGGTTCGGGTGATTTACCTTGGCAATGAATAATTATGGTTTTAAACAGAGTAACTCCGACCATACTCTGTTCTTAAAACACCAGAAAGGAAAGGTAACGGCTCTAATAATCTATGTTGATGATATGATTATTACTGGGAATGATAAGCAGGAAATCTCTCAACTACAAGACTGTTTGGCAAAAGAGTTTGAAATGAAGAACCTTGGTGGACTCAAGTACTTCTTGGGCATTGAAGTTGCTCGATCGAAACAAGGCATATTTCTCTCCCAAAGAAAGTATTTCTAGATTTATTGGTAGAAACAGGAATGCTAGATTGCAAACCCGTGGACACCCCAATCGTCCAGAATCACCATCTTGGAGAGTATCCTAATCAAGTACCCACTAACAAAGAAAGATATCAAAGATTAGTAGGGCGATTGATCTACTTGTCACATACCCGACCCGACATCGCATATGCTGTAAGTGTTGTTAGTCAGTTTATGCATTGTCCAAGTGAAGACCATATGGATGCTATTATTCGAATTCTTAAATATTTAAAGTCGGCACCTGGGAAAGAACTTATGTTTTCCAAAAACGATCATTTAAATATCAGTGGCTATACCGATGCAGATTGGGAAGGGAATATCATAGATAGAAGATTTACATCAGGTTACTTCACATTTGTGGGAGGTAACTTGGTGACTTGGAGAAGCAAGAAATAGAACGTAGTTGCCTTATCTAGTGCAGAAGCCGAATTTAGAGGTATGACCAAAGGAATTTGCAAACTCCTTTGGTTAAAAAGATTGCTTACCGAGATAGGATATGCCCCTACATCTGTGACGAATCTGTATTGCGACAACAAGGCTGCAATATCTATTGCACATAATCCAGTTCAACATGATCGCACCAAACTTGTTGAAGTGGATAGACACTTCATTAAACAGAAACTTGAGGCTAAAGAAATTCAATGTCCCTTTGTCAAATCAGAGGATCAGTTGGCAGACATATTAACCAAGGCAGTTTCTTGCAAAGTGTTCCACAATTCACTGGTCAAGTTGGGTATCGGTGACATCTATGCACCAACATGAGGGGGAGTGTTAGCATATGTAGTTGTCATCTTGTGGAACACAAGACAAAACACAAGACACTCCTTGTCTCATGGCACACTTGTTTCAAGGAAGACTTTCTTTCCTTGTCTTATGGAGTACTTTTCTTGAAGTGCGCAGTCCTTGTTTCCTGGAATGTTTCATGGAGGACTTTTGTATTATTGTAGGATATTACTTGTATAAATGTATGATAAGAAATAGAAACAAGTTAACGGGTGGAAATAAGAAAAATGAGCAGCTCTCATTCTCTCTACACTCTCCACTCTCTCTACTTAATATCCTCCCTATTTTCCACTTGTTCTCTCTATATTTTCCAGATTTCTAACAGTTAGTGATGGCAATCAGATCGTGAGTACATTGTTGGAAGCTACTAAGAGCTTACATCCGATGTCTTGTATATGATTTCTCCCTCCCCAATATCTCGTGTCAAAAAAGAAAAAGAAAGCATGTGATGTAGTGGATACGGTATGCCCGCAAGGCAAAACCCGCAGGTATGCAAAAAGTGTTGCATAACTGTTTGATCTGCAGTTTCATCTGTTAATTTGAATCTGTTTGTCACACAATCTGCATTTTCCTTTAGTTAATAAGCATGAGACATTTCATACTACCCATTTACTCTTGCCTACTCCCTTTCCTATTCTTTGGTACTAAAAATATCTCCTTTTAGTCTATGGTACTAAAACCACCGAGCCAGAAGGCTGACAAAGTATAAGAAAAATATCTCAATGAAATATATGTGGTACAAGCGTTTGGTACATCAAAAAAATTATACAATGTACTTACATAATTATTATTTTAAAAAAAATCAAGTAAAAATTTATACGTAAGCACCCGTTTAGGCTGAACCTAATTCACCTCTTAGTTTTAGCTATCTTGGATGGGAGTGCATAAAAGTACTTGCAAATCTATTATTTGACCATGAAGGAACTTTTACAACTGCACCCACCTACTGCACTTGGATTTGTAGTCACCTGAATGAAAAACCAGGATTGGGTTACTTGTACATAAATCCTTGTATAACAGATGTGATATTTAAATGACACTTCTCTTGTGGCCTAGAGGCCATTGGCTTTGATAACACTATTTATAGCATCATAAGATAACTACCCAACGACAAACAAATAATCAATCAAGAAATCGTACAACATGGTACGTCGATGCATTTGACACACTGTAACCGATAACTGAAAAGAAATGCAAATGACGAATTCCAAATAGCTTCAAACCAAATTATAAGCTCTAGTTCTATTAATTTTCTCCAGGCTGCAAAGGACTGCAGTATTCTAATGTATCAGATTGATTTGTGCCTCAAGTTCTGCAGAAAGTAGACTACTAGAGTGGACCAGTATTTCTCCCACTCGGTAAAGCCTAGAGAAAACTAATATTTAAAAATAATAATTTAACTTCATGACACACACTTCTTAGTACCATAGAACGTTCCTGAAGAGCACATCCCATTGAGACATGAACATCTAAAATAAGCAACAGGTCTACTTAGACTACTAAAAGAGTTTTGTCCTACCAAATTTAGATGGAACTCAGCAGATTCGAAATCTTAATTTACATCCCCATTTTGTTTACTAAAAAAGGCACAAGCAACAAATCTAAACAACCACAGGACACCAGCATTAACCTATTTGTTGCACTGGCAGATGAGCACCATATTGCATTGCATTGCCTATTATCTTTCAATTACTGCAACCTATTTAGGATATAATATAGACAGTGATGCCAAATAAAGGCAACATTCAGACAATTTCTATGCCAACCATATGACATATGGCACCATAATGATATGTTTCATGCCCACAAAATTGTTTGATAGCCCATCAAGGGTACCATTATCATATGCTTCTTACATGTGAACCACTGTGCAAAGGTGAGCCAAGACCTACACAAAATCTTTAATATATTTGATATATAGGACACCATTATGATAGCTATTATGTCTAACAGACGGTTCTTACTTTTCTTAAGCTCCAATACTCACAAATTTTAAAGAAAAACTTTAAAAATAGATCTTTCATCATGAAGAATATCCTTCTTGCTCATTATCCTAGTTCACATATCCCATACAATGAATTTCCATGTAGGGTTCACAGGTATAAGATTCAATGTGCACATGCGGTTCTGCGAAGCATAATACAAGAATAAAGCATGCAAAGGCAACAGAACAAATTGACTTACTTGGAAAGCAGAACGGATCAGCTCCTCAACATAATCAACAGTTGCCCCTTTCACAAAATCATATGAAACATTGTCGACCACCAACTTTACTCCTTCTTTCTCAAATACTCTATTATTGAATGTATGGATCTCCAATTAAACAAGCAACCCAGATAAGCAAAAGTGCATTTAGTCAAGAATTTGAAATATAGAGAATGAAGAGGGGACAAAAACCTGTCATCTGGGTGGGTTTTGTCATCCAGATCAAAAACATATTGGAACCCAGAACATCCACCAGTTTCTACACTCAAGCGAAGCATCTTTCCCTCTGCTTCACTGGCTTGCAGCTGCTTCATTCTCTGTGAGACATTCATTGAGAAGCCAAAGTCAGCACACCAATGTCACCGACTCACAATATAAATAAGGATTACAAACCCAAAGGTCATAAATTACATGGCACTCTCTTTATCTAAAAACTGCCTTTCATGAGCATGATAACCAACATTATCAAAAAAGAAAAAAGAAAAAAAGAAATGCTACCGCAAACATCTTCTAGAACAAAGTTGCTTGGCTTATTTGAGAAAAAAACAGAACTTGTCTTCGTCCATCCACTACACAGTTCTGTAACAATTAGCATAACCCACTTCATTTTTATCTGTGTCTCTATAGCTATATACAGAATCTAGGATAACTGATTATATCAAGACAAAACTTATCATCTTTAGAGTCTCTAATCAAAAGAAAATGGTTCATCACAAGTTAGCTAAACAACTGAATCAAAACCAGTTTGTGACATTGTATTGAGGCTTATGATTTTTGTTTGTGAAATACAATAAGCAAATAAAAAATTCATTCCTCTTCAATAAATAAATAAATTCTGTCTTCATTTTCTTTGCATACAAATAAAGCAAATTACAAAATTTTTGCATCTCAATGAATTAGAAAAACTTCATAAAAGATCCCAAATTGAGAACAAGAAAAAAGAACCCATAAACAGAAATGGAAAATCCAGGCAAGCCATCAAAAACAAAAATCTTCAAGCACAAACAGAGAAGGGAGGGAGAGAGAGTACTTGAACACATGTATCAGTCATTACAACAGCATCGAGGGACGGAGATGAAGATGAAGATGAAGAAGAGGCTTCTTCTACAGCAGAAGACGAATAGAAAGAAGAGCTTAGAAGCCTCTGGTTCTGCCTGATTCGAGCTGCAAAGAAGGGCGTGAGTCGGTGAAGAATCAGAGATCTTGGAGCCATTGTTGTTGTTATTATTATTATGCCTATTATTCTCTCTCTTCTCTCTCAGTACGCCATCGTAAGCAAAACTCGCGCTTCTCTCCTTCTGGGACGCTTGGCTGCTTTTGAAACACCAAGTTTCGCTTCTTCAAAATGGGGTGTTAGTAAAACGACGCCGTTTTGAGCCAGGCCTTTAAAAATAAAAATAATAAATAAAAAAAACTCCCAAAACTCATTTTCGACTCCCGGCCCCCAAAACTCCCAATTCTCAATTCTTTTCTCTCATCTTCCCATTCTACTCCAGCACCTCTTGTCGCTGCCGTATTTGTGTTGCTGCCGCCGGCGGCCCGCCGACTCACTTGAACAGCCATCGCTGCCATCCATCCATATCCCTAGAAAAACAGACAAATACAAGCAATGAACTCGGCGGCTCGGAGTGTGTGGAACGTTTTCAAACGGTCGAGTCAGGGCGTCGACTCAGTGAGCCACGGGCACCATCATCGTCAAGAACAATGGAGAGGGATTCGGGTGAAGGTCTTCAACGGGAACCTGGAGTCGGCGCTGACGTTTATGCAGAGGAAGATGCAGTCCAGTGGGATCGAACGGATGATAAAGCGCGAGCAAACCCACCACATCAAGAACTCTGAGAAACGCGTCTTGGCTCGCAAGAACCTCCAGCGTATAATCAAATCTCAGGACCTCGCTCGCAAGCTCAAGGCCATCCTCTCCAAGAAAGTCAGGTATACATACATACATACCCATTTCACAAAACCCATATCCTATTTTTGGTTTTTTTTTTTGTTCATATGGGTTCAGTGAATTGCAATAGCTGGATTGTAGATTATGCATAATGTTCACATTACATGATTAAGAATGTGTATGGTGAAATTGGGTTTTGTGCCAATTGATAGATCCCGGAATGTTTTATTGAATTGAAGGCCTCCCTAGCTTGTAGCTTGTTTGTAGCTAAAGTGTTTGAGGTTATGCCTGTGAAAACTAGCGTTTGCTCGAGTGCTTAGTTGTTTTTGCAGTTGTCCTATTGTAAACTACCCGTAAAAGTGACTTGGAAATGTTGCTCAACCATTTGTTTGGTAAACCCTTGTTTGAGAAAGGGAAAAAGATTCTTCAACTTATAGAACAAAACTTAGCCAAACTGTGTTTAGTTTGCTTTATTTTCCCTTTCTATTCTTCTTGTAACCAAGCATAAGAAAATATTTAAGGCTTCTAGTCGTTGCTTTTCCCTAAGTTTCTCTAGTTGAAAGTGAACCTCAAGCACAAACCCCTTTCTGTTGAGTTATGAAGTTTATATATACTTGGAGGGCAAGTTATAGTTTTTCACTAGAATTCTAGATTTTGGAGTGTTGACAAGGATGCAAAGCCCAAACCAAACAAGTGCCATCTCTTCCCAAGATTATATTGGGAGTTGGAACTATTCATATTTCATTGTCAATGGACTTTACTTCTCGTTGTTTTAATTTCCACATTTCTTTTTTCCCTTTTTTTTTTTTTGGTTTCAATCTTCCTTTTTCAATGTGAATATCTTTACGGATGCCTTTCTTGTTTTTGCTTATAAAATATTTTCGTTATTTACCTTCTTCTGTGTATACTGATGTTCTGAATTCATATTTTGCAGAGGCCTGTGAGAATATATGGCTCAAGCAGATGCTTGATGGACATATAAACCATGTTACTCGGTGTATTGGAATCGATCTATGTGGTTCTGCAGGAAGCCTTTACTCTATGAGGAATTCAACTACTTCAGTAAATTGGAAATTTAAGTGCAAGCTCAATTCTCTCTGTGTTGTTTTGTGGAATATATTTAGCATTAATCAATGGAAGTCTCAAACCAAAAAATACTCAACAAAGGTTCTTGAAGTTGCTGAAGGACATTTGTGCAAGTTTACTTGATGCTCAATTTGATTTTTTTGGTCTGATTAATCTGGTTATTGTTATATGCTTGTGTGTTGGAGCATTTTTATTTGCACCTATTTTATCTGGTTCACAAAAACCGAACAGCGTGTAAAGCTGAATCACAATTCAAAGCGTTTTGGATGGCATACTTGACGATGCTTAGAATGCGATGATGCCACACCACAGTAAAGGGTGGTGACCAAAAACCAGTGTCTTTTTTGATAATCCATTATCAAAACCAATGTATAATAGAATGTAAGGTTACAAGACAATTCAATGTTTTCACGCTTCTTGCGTTGTCTCCCCCCTTATATTATTCATTCGGCATTAAGCCTAATCTGATGTCTAAGAATCATAACCACAACTAGGTAAGATGTTCTACATTTAACCACTCCGTCCAGCACACACACATCTACAATTAACAGTAAATCTGAAAGTTCACTGTAAATCCTCATTGATATAATAATTCTGTTAGTTTTGGTTTGGAAAGAAGAAAGCTGGAGATTCATTAGGAGCTGCCAAACCCAAGGAACTGGTCTACTACTTTTGCCACAGACTGGGCTAGGTTATCTGCTGCATCCTGTGAGGATGCCTCCGCATATACACGTATAACATCTTCTGTTCCCGATGGTCGTATAAAACATCGGCCTCTAGGGTGTTTAGCTGCAATATAAATAGGAACAAAAAAATCATATTCAAAAGTTTGTTTATAAATTGAATACACCGGTAGAAATCTAGTTCTACAATGTGAAACATAGCAGTCATCACTTTGAAAAGTTTCTGCATAATGATGAATACAGAATGCCAATGCATAAGTTTGTCTTCTAAAAGCTGGCCGAGTAATTTAGTGGTCCAGACCAATAATCAATACAGATATCGTGCAGAGAAAATATTGAACAGCATGTAAGATAAAAGGATAAGATTTCATTTGCTGCTTACCAGTTTCAGCATTGATGGCTTCTTGAATGCCGGGGGGTGTCACAGCCACGGTTTCTGCATTTGCTGTAACAACAGCACTTCGGTCCACAACTTTGACCTGATAATTAAAAGTGAAAGAATTAGTTTCTGAATAATATTATACTTAACAAAGCTGAAGCTTAAGCATTTACACAACTATTCTTCCGGGCAAGTTGCCTCCAACAAGAAAAATGTCGGAAAATCAATTATTTTGTAAAACGAATGACATATGCAAGCCCAAAAAGAAAACAACTATAAAGAGAAGAAACAGCGTGGAACATAGAAAGATGATCAATGGCACTTGCCTTGAGCTGCCTACTGGGTAGATCCTCATAAATCTCATTCCATCTCTCTATTGACCATCCCATATGTTTCAGAATTGCCTCCACCATGAGCACCCCACTCAATGCATCCCCAGCAGCCTGGTTAATCAATTCGCTTACCGCCAATAGTCTCAAAGCAGCCTTATGCTGTTCTGAACCTGAAAGAAACAACCATATACTTCATTAAAATAGTAATGGACAATCATGTCAGCACTTATACAACACATAAAGTCTGTCTGGTTTAACCTTTAGCTACATCAGAAAGCTCAGTAGTCCTGGCCTTTAACCAGCATAAAAACTGTTCTGAGAACAAGATGGTGCCATGTCCATTTGCCTCAAAGTAAATCCCGATATCATACTCTGCAGCTTTCTCGTGCAGGTATTTTACTCCTGTAGGAGTAAATGTGACTTCTAACCCTAACTGTTTGAGATAATCGGTGGATGCTCCATTTGCATATGCTGTTTGCACAATACCAAGGTGACATTGATAACCATTTTTTGCCTTAACATCTATTTCCTTATTCAAAATGCTTAGTTGCTCCGTGATGAATATAGCAAATAAAGACAATATCTTGTCCCCATCAACGAGTTCAATCTTGTTACTGCTTGTAGATGGCACAATAAAATATACAAGCCGATCAGCATCACCATCCAAACTAGAACACCTGAAAAGCTAGAACAATGCACGCAGTTAGTCCTCGCCTCTTATCATTGAATGTAACACTTTGCATCAACAATACAACATTAATAAATTGACCATTTTGAAACCACAAAAACAATGCTTGGATTATTGCACACTGGCATTCTTTGTAAACAAACCAAACTAGTTTTAGGGAAAAACATCATGAGAAATAAAAGTCAAGATTGTTTCTGAGACCCATGATCATTTATATCAATAATAGGTGTACATATCCCTTGTAAGAACTCCAACTAGTTGTTAAATAAGATCAAAATTCAAGTTTTTTAGAAGCAGTAAACTTACCACTAGTTATGCTATTATGAAAAATATCATATGTGTTGCCCAATGAAACGTAATATAGATCACAGAGTTATAATAACAAGTCAATAAGCCACCAAATTTCACAAAGTTTCTCCCATCTGTCTCATTGATGTAGTACATGTATTTTGCATCCATATATTGATATCAAAAGAAATTTTCAAGATAATGTGTTTCTAAGGCATTTGCCAGCAGTATCTATTGATGCAGGCATTTCAAGCAAGCTATAAGTAAATGATAATTAAAATTCATTGTATAATCAAAAGATGGCTGACCTTATCCCAACGTCCTGTGAACCAAAACTAAAGGGAACAACCTTCTCTTTCTGCACATAATCAGCACCAACTCCTTCATTGAGTACACCTCCTTCTTTTCCAGAGTTCCGAACCTCAATAGCCAAACCATTCAACATTGTCTTCAAGATTTCAAGTTTTTCTCCACCAACACCATTTGCCCCATCCACAACCAACTTGTCATCCACATTGTTGGCGTGAGTTCCACTAGGACTCAAATCTACCAAGCACCTACCAACCACAGAAAAGACCTTAAGTGAAGGCATTCAATCAAGATATGATTTTTTTAAGAACAAACTAACTCATAAGCCATAACACAACCTCCATCTTCAAATACCTGAACGAGCTTGAAAGCTTCTTGAAGTAATCAGTTTCCGACACTTTCACACCCCCATTTCTAGCACGAACCATCCAATGTAGCTGTGGAGTAGTTAAAATTCCCATGTCAAGGGCAACTGCTCCAATAATCGAACCGATTCCCTTCAATGGAGAAAATCCTAACTAGATCAAGAACCTAAAGAGATTATAAAAACTTTATCCTAAACAATGGTAAAAGAGCAGATACCTGTTTAGCAGCTTCAAGCAAAAATTCTCCGCTGGGCCTTGTATCTCTTGCCAGCAATATCTCCACTGGTTTTGTGCCATCAAGTGTGATGTTTTCTTTTTGAACAAATTCAGCTATCAACTGTTGAAGATTTCAGTCAACCTTCAATACATACTGACGAAAAGAAAAGAGAAAAAACACACACACACACATCCAAGGATTATATAGAGAAAGAAAACGGGACCTCAACAAGATGTTGGGGATCATGAGCATTGGCGAGGGTATCAGCGAAGGGCTCCCAATCTTGAGAAAGCATTCCACCACTCGGGTCAGCAACTTTGACTCCATTATCAGAGACCTTGTTGTGAGAGGCTGTGATCATCAGCCCAATCACAGATTGGGTCTTGAGGGCCCTTAGAGCCGCTAGAATTCCCACCCTGTAAACCGTCGATTGGAGGATGGACGCATCCGCTCTGAACCCAGAAGTTCCATACGATAGCTTCACTCCTGATGCCAGCATTTCTAAATTAAATCAACAGAAAACATAATTTTGTTGAGAGGAAAAATGTGAGATAGAAAACGTGGACCTTGTGGAGGTGGGAAGTGAGAAGAGGAGCTGAGGAAGAGTGAGCGTTGGTCTTCATTCATGGCTGTCAATAAAAAATTTCAACAAAGAACCCTGATTGGAAAAAAAAAAAAAATTACATTTACAAAGATACAGGCATAAGGTATTAGATGCATATATGAACTCATAAAAGCAGCCACTATTCTTGTTATTCTCTCTTTCTCATATCTCTCTTTCCAGAATCGAATTCTACATTCTTTCTGGTCAACATTGTCAAATTTTCTGCTATTCAAAATGTGAATCATAATCTTATAAACCAAAGCTAACCAAATCAAAGTTTATGAAACATACCCACATCTCAAAAACACACAAAAATTCAACCAAACCCAATTGATTATAAACTCAATCTCACAACTTTACAATCCCAGATTTCATACAACAGTAAAGTTACAGAACATGCAGACAAAATGAGAATATGATCAAACACTAACCGGCAGTATAAACTCTGAAAGTGTGAAGACCTAGACCTCCAAAAACTTCACGAAATCAAAGATTGAAAATTCCACTATTTGATTCTGTTCAGATTGCCAAGGAGTGGAGTGGCATGAGCAATTTTGGGGAGAATTTATCAAAAATAGGCAAAACTTGACCCCAATTTTAAAAATGTCAGTTTTTGTAAAATATTTCAAATATAGCATAAAACTCACCTAAACAAACACAAATGCCCTCAAATTTAAAACCCGCATAAACCTAAAAAATAAAACCATATTAAATTGGGAATCTTTGTACATACGTTTGCAGACGTATTGCTACCCTAGTCAAATGGTAAATGCAGTTCTTCCTTGGTTCTTCATTTAGGGGGGTGTATTCAATTAAGATTTTAAAAGAGTTTAAAAGAGTTTAAAAGTTTGGGTGTATTCAATTCAGATTTTAAAAGAGTTCGTAAAAGTTTGGGTGTATTCAATTCAGATTTCAATTGATAATAAAAAAATACATCGAAATCTAGGTGTATTCAATTATGACTTTTTAAAAATCAAACAAAATTTAGGTATATTCAAAAAGTAATTTATTTTGAAGGAATTAATAAGTTGCCCGATTTCGTTAGAAATTAAAGTGGTAAGTATATATAAAAAATGTTGGTTTTAAAACATTTTTAAGAAGTTGATTTGAATATTAAACATGCATTTAATCAAATTAATCGCAGCGGAAGAATATGGTGGTTGTTTAAATTCAAAACAAAACTTCTTCCA